GCTACCATCTCTCACAGCACTGAACTGCAATGGTCGTGGGAAGGCCCTCCAGGGTAAGGTGAATGCCGGGCCTACTGCCCTCAGCACTTAAAAATGCACCATGCTGCTCCCAGGCCAGGACAGGGGCCGCACATGTAGAAGGCACCACATTTCCCTCCTTCATGAGGCAGCTGGGGGAGCAGTGTATGGTGCAGACCTAGCCTAGTGGGACTATGCCCCAGCCCACAAGTGCCTGTGCAAATGGCTGGGACAGGCTCAAGGCCTCACTAGGTAAGGGAGGCCATAGCTCTCAGGGCACAGGCTGAGCTCAGGACCAAAGTCTACCTCTAGCTGGACAGGCAAAATATGGTTCATTGGGGCTTCATCACCTCTCCTGCCTCACTCAGGACTGATGATGCATGATGGGAACACGGCAATGGTGGGTGAAGACAAAAGTCCTGTAGAGACTGAGGGGCGGTGACAGGTGCTCATCTGCTGGGACCCTGACCCAAGTTGCACAACTCCCTCCCACGCCCACCTGTGCCCCCCCTTGTGACCCACTTGCTACCTTCACAGCACCTCCCGCAGGCAGATGACCCACATTATCGAGGGATCCCACCTTCGCCTGGGCCTTCTCCTTGAAGTTCAACTTCTGACTTTCAATCTTGACATCTCCTCCACCTGGAAAAACAACAACAAAAATCAACTGGTCACTAAGAGTGTCAGAGAAACACGCCTGCAGATAAAGCTAGGAGCCTGGACCAGAAATCCCAGCATGGCCAAAGACGGGCTATGTGCCGGTGTAGAAGTAGGGAAAACGTGACCTGCTTCTAGGTGGTTCTGAGGAAAAATGAGGTGGCACAGTGAGCACAGCTGTTCCAACAGGGCTGCGCTGACCCCAGTCAGGCTAAGGCAATCTTTCTGTCCTTCAATGGGGACAGTGCCACAACCAAGAAGAACCCTGTGCCAGCACTCTACACTCACCACCCTCCCAGTTTCCAGTGTGCAGTTAACCAGGCTCAGGCAAGCCCAGAGTACACAGTGCGGCCTTAAGGGGAGCTCCTCTAAAGGTACGGAGATGACTGTTTGCTTCTGATTCTCCTGACAGTGTGTTAACTCCTATGTGTGAGGAGAAAGGGCTCAGGACCATGGTCACAAGGGACATCAAGTTCAACTGGTGTAACATACTACATAAAAACACTGTTCTCAATTCTACTTTGATGAGTAGTGACTAGGGTCTTAAAAGCTTGCAAGCAGTTATCTAAGATGCAACAATTGCTCTTTTTTCACCAGGAGCAAAGAAGAGTGAAGGAACCCAAAGATGAATGAAAATAATTAGTCCAAAGGACTACTGAACCATGGGAACCTCAGCCTACATGACCTTGAGACCAGAAGAACTAGATGGTGCCTGACTATCACTGTCAACCACTTGGAAAGGTGTCAAAATTGGAGAGTTGGAGTGAGAGAAAAATGTGGAACAAAACTCAAAATCTTAAGAAAGACCAGGCTTATTGGTCTGATAGAGACTGGTGAAATCCTCAAGACTACGGCCCTTATAGGGCCCGGAATTTAACTCACTCCCATAGCTTCCAGCCAAACAACAGACAGGCATGTAAGGCGAACATTTACACCAGGTAGGTACACTCATTAGAACTATCAACTATGAGAAGGGCAGTATTTGCACAGGGAGATAGCTTAGAGGGCAGGAATGAACAGGAAAGGAGGACACAGGGAAAAGGTAACCACAGGCAAGAAGTGGGAAGAGAGCTGTTACAGTGTGGGAATTATAATCAAAGTTATGAAACAAAATGTGTATGAATTGTTATAAGGAAAATGAATTTGCTCTGAAAACTTTCACACAAATCACAATTAGAAAAAAAAAAAGGAAAACAAAAAACCCAAACAAATGTACTCTCTCAAATAAAAAAACAAAAGAGTATATAGGCTCTGCTCAAAGGCCTTTGCAAGGTTGCTGTATGTTGCTAGAAGGAAACTCTGCATTGCTGCAGTAGGAAGAAGGTTGGGCAATCCTACTTCCGTAGTGATACTGCCTCGGAAACCCAAGGAGGGGCCGCTATGAGTCAGGGCTGACTCGACGGCACATAACAACAACAACAACAAGCAGCGTAATTGCCAGAGCTGGCAGGTGATGCTTCACTGCTTGGGAGCCTCCTTTGCTCCTGAATCTGAATAGGCAAGTCCCAACCACCACTCTCATTGGAGCTCCTGTAGTATTAACTCTTGGAATGCCCATTCGGGCACTGACACTGGTTCCCAGCCTAGAGCAACCTCTCCCCTCAGTCTAGGTCCACATGCTACACATGCACCAGGTGTTCAAGAGAAAACCCATACAAAGGGTGGCCTTTACAAACCAATCCTCCTAAGCTGTTAAATAAGATGTTAGCATCCTGATCCTCCCTCCCTGACAGAGATTGTACACTGTGTTGTTTACATTGCTGTGTCCTGGCCGGTGGGAGGTGGCTCCCTGAATCTTTGTGGAATGATAAGGTGTACAAATGAAACCCTCCCCAGCCAAAGGGCTGGCCAGCTGGACCATCTGCCCCTAAGAGTTCAGGTGGGCAAGGGAGGGACCACTCACCAGGCTTGTGCTTGATGTTAGCCTTGGAGCCACACTTGGAGGAGACTTTAGAGATGTCTACTTTCTTGTTCTGAATCTGAACCTGAGAACAGAACAGGAAGAAACCATTACCTCGGAGAGACAGAGTGTCAGGGCCAAATCCATGCTGCCTTTTTAATATTCTCCCTGTTCAAGTTTATGCTCTCTTTCCGTAACCTGTCTCAGTCTACTCAAGGTCAGGGTCACTTCTCAAAATGTCTGACAGAGCCTTGAACCATCTTGGCCCCGCCCTTTGTTTCTGATTCTCTCTCTGGCCAGATCAGGCCAGTCTGTTTCCCCCACACACAGGCCTTTCCTTCCTGACCCTCCTGGCACACCTTCTTCACAGACAGTTGTCTCCCATTTTTCCAGGTCCTAAACCTCAAAGATCTCCTGAAATGTTTGTTCCACTTAAAAAACAAAAACAAAAAAAACCCTCGCCCAGAGATAACCTAGAATAACATTTCAGAATATTTCCTATCCGTCTTTTTAAAGCAGTTTTCCCCTCAGGGCCGAGAGTGGAAGATTTGTCTATTCCTGCTTGGGCCAAACTGTAAGCATTCTCTCCACAAAAGCTCTGCAAAAATATGGCCACATAATAATTTATCCTGTAACATTCCACATGAACCTAACTACATTCCTAATACTGAATACTGAGTTTTAGTTCTAATTTTTCAGTATTATAATAAACATGGCAGCAATAAATACCTTTCTGAATAAGTCTTTGCAATTCTGATGACTCCCTCAGGCAACATGCCCAGAAGTATAGTTACCCAGTCAAAGAGTCAGGCTTTTTTAAGGTTCTTGAAAAATACTGACAAATTGCTTTCCAGAAATGCTACCACAACTGACACCTCCACTAGCAGAGCTTATGTGTTTGCCCCACCACATGCTCCCAGGACTAGATATCCTTGTTAAGGAGAAAAAAAAAAAAAAAACCCTGCTAATTTATAAGTGAAACATGGATTGTTGTAGTTGCTTTAGTTATTGTTATTAAAAAGGTTAACCTTTTTTCAAATGTTTAGCAATCATTTGCAAGAACTGCCTCCTCACTCTCTCAGGGAGCACTCCCTCTTTCTACCAGCCAGTAGGAAAGCACTGTGTTCACAAGGCCCTCCCCAGAAGCCTGGGGTGCTACATTTGCAGAGACTATGCCTGATCTGTCCTTCTGCTCCCTAAAGGTCTCCCTCACAAGCCCTTTCATTAAGCTGATATGCTGCTCACGTTCAGTGAATAATCAAAAGGATGAACTGTCTTGTAAGATTATTTACTAAAAATGAATGAATGGGGATGGAGATTAGTTTGGGTGTCCTCTGTACTCAGTCCCGCTTCATCTTTTTAAGATGGCCAATAGATTTTTATCAATGTGTGCCTTGCAGGGGCACTGGAAAAATATCAGTACCAGGACTGACAGCATGTCTTTAAATTAGGAAACAACAGCCACAGACATGAGTGGCCCACCTGTTCCCTGCTACTATAGAAGCCTGGCTTTCCAGCCCATCAACCCCATTATGCAGTGACCCATGATACTCTGTCAGTTGGTCACACCACTCTAGTGGGGTTTCGCCACAATGTCATTAAATGGTTATCTTCTATGGCTGTCTTAGTTACCCAGGGCTATCAAAATAAATACCACAAGTGAATGGCTTTAAAGAACAGAAATTTATTTTCTCACAGTTTAGGAGACTAGAAGTCTGAATTCAGGTCATAGCTCTAGGGGGATGTCCTTCCTTATTTATTTCAGCTTCTAGTAGCTGCCAGTGATCCTTGGCGTTCCTAGAACTGGAGATCCATCTGTGTCTGTCTTCCTCTTCCCCATGTATGTCAGTGTCTATTCTGGTCTTTCCATAACTCAAAAGTGATTAAGTTTAGGCTTCACCCTACACTAGTATGATCTCTTATTAACACAGAATAGCAGTAACAACAACAACAACAATAAAACAACTTCCGAACAGGACCACATCCACAGGAACAAGGGCCAGGAATTCAACATGTATTTTTTTGGAACACAATTTAATTCCAACAGAAATATGGTCTCAAGAGGGCAGATGTGGTGTCTACTGTATTTCTGTATTTGCTCCCAGCAAAAGACCTGGCACAGAGTACCCACTGCACGACCATCAGCTTGCCTGAGACACCTTCACTCTTGCCTCTAGTCTCTGCTTATACAGTGCACCCTCCTCCCATCCTTTAAGGTCCAGCTCAAAGGTCTTCTTTTCCATACATTTCCTGGCTCTAGCTTCACTCTACTTCTTCTTCACATCATCTCTTAAAGGGACACCATTATGAACTGTACAGTAACTGGTTCATGTATTCAATAATCATTTACAGAGAATCCACTATATGATGAATACTCTGCTAGTACTGGGGAAACTATAGTCAAACACAATCTTCATTTTGACTCATCTTTCCAACAAGGCTGCAGTTTCCCTAGACAAGATCAATGTCTTTTTTGGGCCCCAATCTATAGTTCATTTATAGCTATTCTCAAAAAAGGAAGGAATTTATGATACAATGCAGGTAAATGTACTGATGGGAGTCAGAATTCTCCAGCTACAGAATTGGTAGCTACACCACTGTAGATGTTATATCTGAGGTTAGAATAAGGTGTGGTGTTTTATCTGTTGGGGGAAAATGACCAAGGCGGCCACAATGGCTTCACCCACGTATCTCCTCATTCTTTTTCCTCATAACGGTAACATGAGAATTGTACTTTTCTCACCAAAGACCTAGCAGCTGCTTAAACCAAGCCAATTTGCCCATGATGTGTCCAGCAGCAATGGTGACAAGTTCATCTCGCACAATCCCAAAACTGAAAGAGATGCCCTGGGACCACCTGTGAAGAGTTAACAGAAGCTACTCTTGAAGGTTTGGGAACTCTCCAAGGTACTGATCCCACATGTTCTCTATAGTGTGTTCTGGAAGCCTCCACTTCTCTACCTCTTGCATTGTCCTCATTCAAACCATAGTCACTGAGGGCAAGTTTCCCTTTATAGATGTATTCCAGCTCATAAATGAAGGAATGATAGAATCAGAGTCTCTCCACCACATGCTCCCAATGAACTCATGGTCCTAGGTATTGAGCAACATAGAGGTGGGCCAACAAAAAGGAAACCAGAAGAAAGAGACATGATGTGCCTCCCAATAGAAGACACACCTTTCCAAGTAAACAGTCTTACCAATATGGGGTGTGTGTGTGTGTGTGTATGTGTATGCGTGAGTGAGGGAATCAAACCTGAATCAATTTATAGAAAATCAAGGGAGAAAGGAATATAATAAAATCCAGATTCTAGGACAAACTACCCAATTTATTCATGAAAAAACTGTCTGGTGGAAAAAAAGAAGGGGGGAACCTGTAGAGTAAAAGAAACATAACATTCAAAGAGACCCAAGATGACACATATCAACCAATCACAATTTATGGACCTTATTTGGATCCTGATCAAAATAAGCAAACCTGTCTTAACATGTTAGTTTAAAAAAAAAAACTTTTTTTTTTTTTTTTTTTTACACATGAAATATTTGCAAATGAAGTAATACGTGAGAGATTGGGCTCAAAATACTAAGAGTAGGCATATAGAGATAAAACAATAGCCATTAATAATAACTGAAGCTGGGTATATGGTACCATCAAGTTCATTTTACTAGTTTTTCTACTTTTGTGTATGTTTTGAAATCTTCATAATAAAAAGTTTATAAAGTTAGTTGTGTCCCATTCACTTAACAACACCCCCTGCCTCTAGGACAAAGCTCTACTTCTTTGGGTTGGCATGCAGAGGGCTCTATAGTCTGCTTTCAGACATCTCCCCCACTACTCTCTCCCCAGTACTCTATGCTCCAGCCTCAGAAAACCACGTACTACTTCTCTAGCCAAGGACATGGGCCTCTCATCCTTAAAGGACTGGCACAAACGTTCCCCCTGCAGTGAAGCTTGATGGCATAATAACTGCCCTCTCCCTGGCTCTTCTTAGTACAACCAACCACATGACCCATTGCCTCTTGCTCTAGTTGTGTTTATCCAAGTCTCCCCACTGGTCTGTGGTAACCTTCAGGCCAACTACACAGTGATATCATCAATATGTGCTTGTTGAAATGACACGCAAATGGGTCTTAGAACCCACGACACGTATACATACTCCTCACAAGGGTGAAATGAAATTAAAACGGCCACAAACGTTTAAACTGGGCCCAGGAACAGAAGTACTAGCCACGATGTTGGCCTCATTAACATGTCACTCTATCTCCTCCCCGCTCATGCCCTTCTCTCTGTCATCAAGGAGTGAGAGAGAGAGAGAGAGACAGAGAGAGAGAGAGAGAGAGAGAGAGAGAGAGAGAATGTGTGTGTGTGTGTGTGTGTTTAAGGGGGGAGTGAAGACGGGCCTTAGAAGTGTAATGCTGTTCTGTCTGCACAGCAGGCCCAATATTTTTAAACTGCATATTTGTGTATTGTAGCATGATGAACGAGGCTCAAGGAGGTTATGAAAAGAACTAAAGCATCTCAAGTTTCAGTTGCTGCCGTTTACCTTTCTCTACCCACCTGCAAACAGGGCTTTCACATAGTTTCCTAATGTTGCCTGTTTAGTGAAATGACAGAAAATAATTTTTAAAAAGTACAGCTCCTCATTTCCTCTTGTTTGAAGTCACATGTAGGCAGCGTGGTAAGACCATAGCAGGTGATGGATAATGATGACTATTGCTAGAGTTCTCTGGTATGCTGCACAACACAGATAAATGCATTTCTATGTCAAATCTGAACAAGCACACCCAACTGCCTCAGACTCCCCCTGTTCACCTTCTGTTTCTACCCAGGCCAAAAACCTGAGGACAAAATTAAGGCTAATGTCCACATGGGCCCTTCCTAGGCTGGATGTTGAATCACCTCAGATACTGTCTTTAAAAGCTTCGCCCACCTCAGCTGATCCTATGCCAGGCTGGCTAATGTCTGGCCAACTACCAAGCTGATCAAACATACTCCAACTGTTCATAGATCACCTGAAAGGGAATAGTGCCAGCTCACACCAGGAAGAGCAGTCGGTGAGGGAATGACTAGGAGTGGGTGCAGTAAGAGGGATTTGAGTGGGACAAGAAAGGACTGCTGGGGGCAGGGGATGTATTTGTTGTTCATGGGCAGAATGGCCTGGCCACCAAGGAGATGGGAAGGACCACCAGAACTCAACATGAAAAGGATGAGCAGAGCATGACTTAGTCCAGGGTCAGAACAGCAAGGGAAAGTAAATGAGTGGCTGAGACACAATGGGGCTCTGAAGTCTTGGGGCCAGAGAAGCAGTAGGTGGAGAATTAGAGTCTGGCAGAGGCTCCAAGTGGACAGCTCCACAGATGCCACTAGCACAACACTGCAGAACTCTGCTCTGCATGGGCACTGTCATAGGGACAGGTGGAAAATGCACAATGCACTCTAATGACAATGACACTTTGCCCTGTCCCTCCTAGACCTGGACCTCTCTGTGAGGTGAAGTCACCTGTCCCCCCAATGCAGAATACCAGCATAATAAAAGGAAGGACAGTTACATGGAACAGGATAGGGGACAAAAAGAAAAGTAGAGAAAAGGGAGTAAGAGAAGGGACTGGAAAACATGGGGGAACAAGAATAGAAAGGAAAACAGACAACATAAAGAGGAAAAGAGAAAGAGGACAAAAAAGAAAGAAGGAGAGTTAAAAAAGAAAAAAGCAGAGAAAGGGCAGAAGAGGAAAATGTTCATTAATTCTCTGGTTCTATAGTAACAAGGATTCAAAGATGGACTCTGCACAAGTCTGGACTTATAAGAGCAGGGACTACCCACTGGTACTACATGGGAGGTGTGCATGCACCCTGTCAGGAGCTGGGGATCCTGGAGGCATCCTGCCAGGCACCTGTTCTCCTACAGTTGTAGCCTTGACAATGGCCCCACTTTGATACCTATGAGTAGACTTGAGATGAGTAACAGGCCTGCTGCTGATCTGCTGCCCTTGAGACCAAGTCTCTGATGTAGCTAGAGAACCTAAAACTTCCCACCACAGGGGTTAGAAGATATCAAGTGGGCAGCAGCAGGCTGTTGTTGCAGTTTTGGAAACAGAAAATACCTAGGGCAAAAACATTTGTGTGCTGAAGTCTCCCCTCAATTCCCTAGGCTGCTTCTTAGGCAAAACCTTAGTCCAGGCCACTGCAGGTCCTGTCTGAACAGGCAGGTGGCCCTGTCCCCAGTATATGCTGCAGTGGGCTGTGTCTCAGCACTAGCCATCCAGAGCTCATACTTACATTACCACCTCCAGGGACATGCTTAATATTGTCCTTGGAACCACACTTGGACTGAATATGGCTGTAGTTCATTTTTTTGGAGACTATCTGGACCTGGAGTGTTACAGAACAGAAAAAGAAAAAAAAAAAAACAACACAAGGGGAGAGGTCTGGTTAGAATCAATACAGGACAGGCAGTGAGTCCACACATGACCACAATGACCAACAAAGAGTGTTATTAAAACTCCACCCCCACCTTCAGCAGAGCCAGGTGTGGAAAACACAGAAGAAATCTGAAGAAGCAAGAAAGGGACTGAAAACATGAACAACCAACAGGAGAAGCAGGTGGTGCACAAGTGCTACCTGATCACCATCAATCACATCACTGCTCCTTGGGTGCTGAGCTGGGACAGTGTCCTGTGGTTCCTCTCTACAAGGGCCCTGCTGATCTGGAGAGATTCCTACCCAAGGAAGGCATTTGCCTTAACATTTGGTGCCTGGAATTGTTTTAGCCAGCCAGATTCACTCTTGGAAACAAAAGCTGCTCTGAGAATCACTGGGCAGCTGGCTAATGAGGCACAGATCTGACACCAACAGGAAGAAAGGGATGTTTTGCAGATATAAATACAAATGAATCAAAGAGGCTGCTGGGCTTACCATGTAGAATCTCAAGCCTAAATCAAACCCTGGACACCAGTTGGAGCAAGGGTATAGCCTAGGCAGTTGCCATAGTGCCACACAGAACCCAAAGGTTTAGGTCTAGACTTCTAAGGTTAAAACACCTTTTCAATCCAAATCCCGTGCCTTCTGAGTTTCACGTACAAAGCAAGCAGCAGCCTCCAGGCAGGACTGCACTGATACACTATCCAGGGGTCAAAATCACACTGTATTGTAAGCAATGGCTCCCTCTGGAATCAACCAACACGAAGGCTAGAGCTATAAGGGTTTGGAACAAAGAATTCTTGTTGGGCCTTCTCAAGAAGGAATGTTATCAGCTTCCTTCTTTTGTTTCAGAGCTGAAAGCCCTTTCTAGCCCCCAGGCTGAGGTTTTCCAGAGAGCAGAGAAATCTATCTTCACCAACTCCAACCCATACACTCATTTCCTGCCTTCTTTCCAGTGTCCATGATGAATAACTGGCTAGCAAACCACTTTGCATGAGCCCTGGGGTCTGAGCCAGAGACCCAGCGTGCCTCTAGTAGTCACAGTGCAACCTTCCTCATCTCCTCAACTATACAAATGCCATCCCACCCTACAGAGGCCCACCCAGCATCTACTACAGCTAAGGGAAGAAGGTACACTACAGCAGACAGGAGGGGACTGCCTCCAGGGTGAGGAGCCTAGAGTTCCCGCTTACCGCTGTCTGGTGTTACAACCCCTATGCTGAGTGGGCTTCTGTTGGAAATAAGCATCTTAACTTTCACTTATGAGGTGATCTGGGAGACCAGGACAAATGAGGCTATCTCCAAGGCTAGCGGCATTATGAGAGGAATTTTCCAGCTCAACTTGAAGCACAGGGACTCCAGGTTCCAGGTGCTAGAAGAGTGCCAATGGGCCATCTCACTGAGGAAGAACTCAGGTGCTCTCTGTGCCTGTCTGTGTATTTGCGTGTATAAGGGGTGGGCTAGATGAAGATCAGTACGTGAGAAGTGACATTTCTGGAGCCATTTTACCCAGGTGAATAAGAATTCCCCAAGGGCTGACTCTGCTATCACAAAATATTTTCTGATGGTTCAGTCATCAAACACAGAGGAAGGAACACTGGGGAGAAGGAAAAGCTAGGTAAGGACAGGAAAAAGGTGTGAGAAGGGAAAGTGGCTCAGGCTGGAAGAATATTTTATCATCTTTTACCTTCAAGAGGTAAAAGTCTAGACAAAACTCACTTTCCCAGCAGGCAGTTTCTGTGCACTCGCAATAGGGCCGGCTGTTTTAGTGACTGCATGAGGTTCAGGCTTTCGAGCTGTAGCAGCTGTCTCTGTTTTTTTCTCTACTTTGGCCTGGATGGAGATAAAGGGAGGGCAAATTCAAACCAAGAGGAAAAGAGCCCAGATGCCAAGAAGGGAAGATGGCTGCAGGGACTCAAGTCCAGGTCAGGACAGCAGGCAGCAGCAGTGTATCCTTGCTCCCAGAGAAAACACATTATTTCCTAGGGTAAAGTAAGCCGGAGTGCCACAGGCCAAAGTCCTGAGGTGTCAAGCAGAGACCAAAGAAAAGGAAAGATACAGAGAAGACTGAGAAGCCCAAGGTAGTGATTCTCATCTGGGTGTTTGTGTGGGGAGGTTGTCATTTGCATATCATACAGCTTTCCTGTGCAAACATTCTAAAATGCCTCAAGCAAGCTGTCATGGTTACAGAGAACCACTGTTGGTAAGGAAAATGTTGCACCCCTCCGGTATATTGGTAGACCTAGTCACTCAACTTCCAAGACCTCCTGCAAACTTTTGCAACATGAGAGCATAAAAAGAGCAAAGGGAAAGACAGGTCATCAGTAACACAGCCCTAGAGGCCTGGCTGGATATGACAGAGCCAGTCTCTTAACAAAAGCAACTCTCAGGCCCTTATCCCAATCTAATTCCAGCTGATCATCAGTGTCTTCCAAAAGTCAACAATAACTTTTGTCCCTCCTCAGGTTTTTTTTTTTTTTTTTCCCATCAGTTCTGGATTAAAGCAATTTAAGTATCTTACTCCAGGTGTGTGTGTGTGTATATGGGGAAGGGAGACTTAGGTTTTAAAGAATGACGTCAGACATGAGAAGGTCACTGCTCCAGGGACTTGAACCTTCTCAAATGGATTTTTGCCATCACCTTTTTCACTTATTGAGTCCTATGGTTGCTAAAAGTTAGCAATTCTGGGGTGCACGCAACCAGCAAATCCTTAAAGTGAAGCACTGTGGCCTGTTGCACCTTTTCATTTAGCAAAGTCAGACACTTGCAACAACTCATCCAGGCCATAAGGGAATGCCCTACTCCTCTTTCTGAGGCTCCACCCATCTTCTGTCTACCTGACATTCACAGTGCAGGGTAAGAACCATGATAACTGGGTCCCAGGGTTTATGTCCAGTGTCCTTCACCCCCATTGAGTTTCAGAGGCCTCTACTGTTTGTTTTGAAAAGCAGAACCCTTTTGCTTCCAAACAAAAACATAAACCCAAACCCCAACATACAGAAGGCCTTCTGACTGAGATGGGAAGAGAAAACCCAAAGCTCAGCTCTGCTGTTGGGACCCAAAGGCCACTGCAGAGCCCAGGATGAAAGTCAACAGACACTGAATCAGATGTCCTGACTTTCTCTCTTCTTTGATGGGCCCTTTAGTTTGGTGTGAGAACTCAGACAAGCCTGGAGAATATGGCTGAATGTGGCAGAGGAAGAAGCAGGGGCCAGCATGCCAGGGACCGCAAGCCTCTGAGACCCACCCGGCCTCCTCCAGGCTGATGTTTGATGTTTTCCGTGGAGCCAACTTTTGAACGGACATTCTTCAAATCGGGGGTAGAAGCATTGGTACCCAGGCGGTTCAGATTGGGGGTGGAGGAGTTAGGCTTGGCTGGCAAGGGCTTCTTGTCCTTGGTAGGTGTCACGGAGGGTCGGGGAGGCGTAGGTGTGGGCTTGACTCGGTTGAGAGTCACTGCTGCTGGGGGTGTTGCCCCAGTAGAAGTGGTGTTTTTCTTCACAGAAGTGGTGGAGGTGCTCTTTGAGCGACTCAAATCAGCTGTAAAGATAGGCATGAAAGATAATGATTTCCACAGATTAGAGCAAAATGAAACCTTAAAGCCATAGAAAAGGAGGGGGCTAGAGTCTAGGTTCTACAAAACAGAGAATAGGGTATTACCTGGTGCAGACTTTGTAGTCACCTTCTTGACGTCTGCAGGCTTTGCCTCAGTCTTGATGGCTGTACAGAGATTCACTTTTAACCAACTGACCTACTGAATGTCTCATCCAATACTGAAAGTCATTCGTTCATTCAACAATTAATGAGTACCAATGCTAGTCTCTGGAAAAGATCAGTAAACTGGACAGCTGGGTACAGACCTTCAGCCTATGGAGTATGCAAGGCCAGGTACTGTGTCTACTCTTCTCCACAGTCCTTACAATGCCTTCCACATGGCTTTGTTGTTGTTGTTGTTGTTATGTGCCTTCGAGTCGGCCCCGACTCATAGTGACCCCTCCTTGGGTTTTCGAGGCAGTATCACTACGGAAGTAGGATTGCCCAACCTTCCTTCCAAGGAGTGGCTGGTGGGTTTGAACCGCCAGCCGTCTGGTTAGCAGGCAAGTGACTTAGCCACTATGCTACCAGAGCTCCTCCACATGGCTTTAGAAGTAGGTAATCAGTACAGGCCTGTGGAATCGAATTGTTTATTTCTTATCAAGCCCATGATCACACTCTGGGGTCAGAAAGAAAGGAATGATAAATTCTACCTAGGAGTTCATGACAGGTCCAAGATTATTCTGACCATACAGAATGGTTAATTTTACATGGAAGTTCCAGTCTTATTAAATGACTAGACCTACCAGGCTGCCCCTTTCCAATGTACACCATTGAGAGCTGGTTTACAAGCCGACCTGCAGTCTGTGATGCGGGCCAGAGCTATAGCTGGGGTGAAGCCTAAGCTCTACACTCCTCCCCTCTAGGTCCAATGGGAGGGAAGGATAGATGATACTCACCAGTGGGCCTCTTAAGCAGATGCACAGGAGGATTCCTACTGCTTGACACAGCTGCAGGTGGAGTGCCAGCTGCTGGGGCTTTCAGAACAGTCTGGGTGCTCCTGGAGCCAGGTCTAGCAGCTGGGGCAGAGGCCGGCTTGGACAGTGAGGCTCGCTTCTCAGGAATCTTTGCCTCTGTAACAGGCTAGTAACAGAAAAGTGTGAGTAAGAGCTCTGGGTCAGCAACAGCCCCAGGAAATCATGCCACAGGGATGCTCCCATATAAACAGGCACCATTCTGTGGGCTTGGCAGTTACTGACAGGAAAATATATGGCTTCAGGATCAAAGTTTTCCAGACAAAAGGAGAAACTGGCCACACAGGGTGCTGCATAGGGATGAAGAAACAGGGAGTGAAACTACCTGAACCAGTGGGAATGAAGAGCCATGAAAGGAAAACTATACCACAACCTCAGGATTTTTGACATTAAATATGAAGGTATTTAATATAATAAAGTCTAATGTATTAAATACTTGACTATACAAAGACACCTACATTTAATAAAACCAAAAAAATCCAGCCCAACCTACTGCTGTGGAGTTGATGCATTAAATCAATAACTACAAAAAATATGCCGTTGTTGTTGTTGATATGTGCCGTCGAGTTGGCCCCGACTCATAGCGACCCCTCCTTGGGTTTCTGAGGCAGTATCACTACGGAAGTAGATTGCCCCATCTTCCTTCCGAGGAGTGGCTGGTGGGTTTGAACCACTAGCCTTCTGGTTAGCAGTCAAGTGTCTTAGGCACTATGCTACCAGAGCTCCCACAAAAAATGTAACAAAGCTTAAAAATTAATTTCAGTCATTTTGGGGACCTACATGCCCCTAGTAAATGCTGAACAGGATTGCTCTACAGACGAAGAGAACATGGGCCAAAGAGTCAGAAATTTGTGCTCCAGCCCCAGTCCTGCCCCTCACTCAGTGTGTTCTCAGGTAAGTCATCGAGCTTCTCTGAGGGAAAAGAAGGCTGGAAAAGAGCAGCTCTGAGAACCGCTTTGACAATGTGTGATTTTAGGGAGCAGAGGATGTGAAGTCTCTGATAGCACAGGGACAAGGAGAAGCGGCAGGCAGGTGGTGCAAGCCTGACCAGCAGTGAGGTGAGGAGCACTGCCAACACAGCCAGGAATGGAAAATAGAGGAGAAAAATGAAAGCAAAGGCTATATGAAGGGCACATGGGCCTCATTAATTCTTCCTTGAAAGTAGAGAAAGTTGCCAAGTAGTGAGGAAGGAAAGAAATGAATTTGGCCTGGTATCTGAGCAAACAAGGGATGACAACATACCTTTGATAAACACACATACCATGTTACTCAAGAAAGCAAGCCAAACCACAGACCAGGGAATCCAGTTTTTCACTCTAAGAGAAACTGCCATACTAAAGTTAAGTTTGTTGGAGGAGGCAACCAGGATATTGCTTAAATAGAACACTAGCTAAGGTGCTCAGAAATTAAGGGTTGGTTTTCAATTAAATAAAGTCTAACTCTGCAAATGTAGAGTAATGACCATTTCACAAATGGAGGTTCTAAGTATAATTTGAACAACCACAAAGATAGAATCAGGGGAACTGATTTTGTTCCACGTTCTGTTCAGAACATGTCATAGTATTTTGTCAGGGGAATTACTTCTCTGTGACTGCCATTACATATGAAGACTAAACCAGATGCTCTCTGGAGATTCCTTCAAATTTTCAATACTATGACAATGATCCAAAATAATCTAGTGTGCTCTTACTATTTTGCTAGTAATGATGATAAAATATTAGAAAAAAATTGGCTTGGAATAGAAATCTCTAAAGGTTGTGCCATTCTTTATATGCAAGGCTCCTGGCCTCAGCAAGCTGCAGAGCCAGCCTGCTCTCCTAACTGGAGTCACTCCGCTGGTCCTCAAGTTCTATTTTCTCCTCTGCCAGAAGCATAGACATACTTATTTTCTCTGAAAAGTTTTTCCTTTGTTTGCTTTTACAAATTTTCCTATCGCCGCCCCCCCACCAAAAGCCACAAAAAACAAAGCATAAGAATAAATTTGATTAGACTTTTAGTTTTTTAATCAATGTCTCAAAAAGTTTTGATCTGTTTCTTATCTAAAAGACAAATAACAGTAATAATTATAATGCAGATCACCTAGAGAGAGGTCAGCTGCACCTCAAAATGCTATCTAAAGCTACATGGCAGAAAGTCAGAGAAGAACAGTGTTGAAAGAGGCCCTGAGCATCAGTGTTGGAGTTCAATCCAGATTCAAACACTGCTTCTGTCATTTACTAGCACAGGACCTTAAGAAGGTTACTTAACTGAGCTTAAATCTTCTTGTCTATAAAATGAGGATGCTAGTATCATGGGCTGCTGAGAGAACAAAAGGAATTGATGTTTGTAGAGAAACTAATACAGTACACCTCATTCTGATTATTATTACAAAGTGAAATTGTCACTAGGTACCCTCCTTCTTCCTACTCCCTCCTGCATCCCCCAGACCGAATAAGCAGTCAGGGAGGAGCTACTGCCACAGTTCTAGCCACATTCTCTTTGCCTTCTTCATATGCTGGTGTTTCTCTTTGGCCTCTGTCTTCTTGTTCAAACAAAATGTTTTCCAAAGATCAAGGAAAGAAGCAAAGTAACTAAGCCAGGATCAGAGAGAAAGCTTTATGGGATGTTATCATTCCTATCCTATGACAAAACTTCCCAGTTTCATGGGCAAGGATTCAGCCCAGACTAGAATTCCCAGGTTCCATCAATTTTCTGTACAAGACAAAATTAGCACACTGACATTTTACCATGAGAAGCTACGTCCTACCATAAATTTAAGGAGTAACGTTAGGCTAAACCAAAGACCTTTTTTAAATAAAACAAGATGACAGAGCTGAGATAGCCAATGAGGAAAGCAACTATAGCCTAACCCCCCTCTCCACTTCTCTTGTAAAAATCTTCAAAAGCTAATGCTCTGAGTGCAACAAGTTTCTGGGCAACAGAGAATATAGATGGATTTGGAAAACTTCAGAAGGAGCCTAATGAGAGGCAGTCTAATACCCAAATCAAATGAAATGAGCACACATAATGCTGGAACCTACTAATGTAAGATGGAAGAGCAAAAATAAAATTCACTTGTGCAGGATGACTGATCTAGAGAAGACAAAGAATTGAATTTGACATGGAAATTATGTCAAAAATAATTACATCATTAGTGTAAGGAGTAAAGTAATTGGTTAACAAGTGTTTCAATAGGTGAAGAGTTAAGAAAGAGTTGGGGGAAAGGAGGAAAAACTAAAGTAAGTAGAACATTGTCACCAACCAGGACAGGGAAGGGTAAAAAGTATAAAAGGGCTGCAATAAGGGATGGCTGCGTCAGTGGGTCCCCACATTCATTTTCAATCATCCTTCCCTTGCTTTTTCCCGATTCCATCGGTAACAACAGCCTGTCCATCCGATACTCTGAGGGGAAAAAGTTTCCCTAAAATAGTACTTAGGTGACTACTTACCTTTGGCTTCCCGTCTTTTGAAGGTAAGATGGAAGGCCGGGTAGTGGTGGCAGCAGGGCGTTTGGGTGGGGCAGCAGGTACTGAGCCTGAAGCAAGGCTCATGGGTTTTTTATTCAGCCCACCAAGGGTGGTGGGAGCTGGCTGTTTAGGGCTAGAAGTGGATTGTGGTTTGGCTTTCGATGTTGAAGTCTTTGCAGGTTGAGTGGTGGCCAAAGGCTTTAGGTTGATTTGTTGTTTGTTTGTTTGTTTTATTTTTAAAAGGCCAACATCAAACACACAGACAAGAATAAAAACAAATTAAAAAGAAAAGCATAAATTGCACAATTCAAAGTAAAATTATAAGCAATGTGGATAGACGAAACTGAAAATTAGCATTTCTTTCTTCTGAGTTCAGAAAATGGTAGAATTAAATGAGAATAGAGACAGAACAATTACAAATTGTTTCTGAATAATAGTGTCCCTGGAGTTTGGCATCTGAAGACTTAAATTCAATAATAGCGTTTAACAATTTACACTTTGGAAGTTTAAACTTCTGGCAGCTGTAATAAATCTAACCACCCCCCATTAGCAGGTGATTAAACCATTCCCAGCACCTCAACGGGGCAGCAGTGGCATTCTAAGACCACATTAAAGTGTGGCATTTGAGCTTTGCAATAACCACAAACAAGTGTCTCAAGCTATGAGATCCCTCTTAAAACTCTGCCCTCCCTTTGCATGAATATGGATTTCAGAATCTATTTCAGAATAGTTCTTCAATCATCCTCTTTCTTCTTGCTGTTAAGGGAAGCAAAAACAACCTTTACAGAACATTTCTACAGATATTCAAGATAACAGGCTCAAAGGCAGGGATTTTAAGGTTTGGGATAAGGCATTATGGTAAACTGGGAGTATAAAATTATTTCCTAAGCATGTCCAAATTTGAGAAAGGGCTCATAACTGCTCAGAAAAAAGAAATTTCATGCATGATTCAAGCAACAACATAAGATAATATGTTTTTAAAAACTGTAGCGGTAGAGTATGGCCCCCTGGCACCTACCTTTGTTTTCTTCTCTGGGCTTGGTGGGAGCTCCTTATTTGGAGGGGTGGTGATGTCATTTCCGGTCACACTCACAGTAGGCTGTCCTTCTTCTGGCTTGGCTATTCCAGAAAAGGTGGAGGAAGAGAAATTATGCTCAGCAAATGTTTTTCACACCCATTTCAAAAATGCAAGCATAGCAAGAGACACGCCACTAACTACCATTTCATTCTAGAAAAAAAGCTCATGGGGCTTCTGCCACTGAAATGTGGACAAAACTCCCAACTTTTTCTCATTGTAAAGGAAGACAGTTTTAGATTCCAGACATCAGGGAGCCTCTCCCTGCAGCGAAGCAACCTAAGTGGGGTTTACACAAATGATCAATGGAAGAAAATGGCTCTTGAACTTTGGTTTCCCTCCCCTGGAGACCAGCAAAGGGGTTCTGTCACCCAATCACTAGCTGGAACATACAGGGGACAAAGACCTCTTCTACCAAAGTCTATCTCTTGCTGAGGTGGGTAAGAGCCAGAAGATCATCCAATGTCCTACTTTATACTTTACTTCCTCTCCCTGTAAAGCACCATTTTATGAAAGATGTGAGATTAACTTGATCTAGTTCTAGCAGTGACCCAGATTCCCAACAAGGCTGAGGAGATCCATGAAACACAGCAGTTACCCAGAGCCAGAAATAAAGTCTGCTCCAAAAGCTGTGCGTAGCAATACCACTGTGAAGAAGGTAGTCTAGATTTCAATAGGGCTATACCTGAAAGCATTAAAATTCCATCTCCATACAGGGAAGATCTCATTATGGCACAAAATCCAGAAGCCACAAAAGTTCGACTATAGACTACATAAAAAAACTTCAATGTAGTGAAAAACAAAACCAAAACAGTGAAAGTGCAAATGACAAAAAAATAAAAATACAAAGTCCAACAACCTACTAGAAAAATGGTCAATATAAGCACCATTTACACAAAAACAGATACAAATCACTATTGAAAATATGAAAAGATCCCCCATCTCCACTATAATAATGAAAACTATATCGAGTGCCATTTTTAACCTAACATACTGTCAAGAGCCCTAAAGTTTGAAAATAACTGTCAGAGACAATATGGGGAAATACACTGCTGGCAGGTGTGTGAACTGGTACAGTCCATATGCAGGGCAATCTGGTGGTGATGAAGCCTAATAACAGAAAACTAGTTAAAAACATTATTGCAGATTTATCATTGAATTAGGGGAATATTATCTCTGAATGGGGGGTAGGGAGCATGAATTCTTCATGACTGATAGGGCACGTTCTTAAAATATTAAATGAGAAAAAACACTGCAAACATGTATAATACAAAACCACTTGTCTAAAAGAGAGGTGTGGGAAAGTAAATATGCTTCTATTACAAATACACTTTTACATGCATTTTTTAAAATTTTGTGGTAGGATCAGAATGAAATAACATTAAGCTAAATGATTTTTTTTAAGTGGGCACAAAACTAGAGAAGAGTAGGAGCTTTTAAAATTTTTTTGGTAACTTTTTAGTTTGAAGTAATTATAGATTCACAGGCATCTATAATTAATAGATATATAATCTGCAAAGAAATGCACAGTGTGCTCCCAAGTGTCCTTCAACGAGCCTCCCTCAGTGCCGCCATCCTGCAGAACTCTAGCACACTGCATTCTATTAGCATTAAAGGGTGAACGAGTAGGCGATCTTGTTCTGAAATAAACAAACATGGATTATTTAGATGTATGGTGTGTAATTTCCAAATGTCTGAAGATATTCCTGTGGTCTTTCTATTATTGGTTTCTAACTTGATTCTGTGGAAAGCTGAAGGGGTCCCTCACAGAAAATTGCAGAAGTTTAACAGGCATGATCAAAATAGACCTTAATCATGGTGACTAACTTGCTATTTTTTCCTCCCTTTTGTTTTCAGGGACGCTCAGTTCTTTAGGCTTATTATTTTCAATTATACATTCTCAGGGGGTTATTTTCCATTACACTTTCTCTTATGCACAACCCTCTCCCACAACTGGTTTTGGCTGAGACCACAGTCCGTGAAGCTAGACGACCCTGGAAACAGGGACAACGAAGTCAGGACTAACTACGGAAAAAGGAGAACTAAAACATTACTGGTAGTCCAGAGGATCTTCGACCCTTTCCCATTTCCCTGTATAATCATACTTTATCCCTTTGCTCAGGGAGACAGACATTTTAGAGAAGTGATTCCTTCTGTCTCCTTGGCTATCAATACTCAAACATGCTTTCCCTGTTTCAACCTGTTGTGATCACTGGCTTTACATGACAGACCTTGTGGCTCCTACAACAATTCCACTATGGCTAGAGAACATATTCTGTATCATCCCAATTCTTTTAAATTTATTGCGATGTGTCTTGGTGTGCATTTCTTTGGGTTTATTCTATTTGATGTTTACACTCCTTCTTGAATCTCTAGGTTTATGTCTTTCATCAAATACGGGAAATTTTCAGTCATTATTTCTTCAAATAATTGTTCACCTCATATTTTTTCTCCTTTCCTTCTGAGATTCTGATGATACAAATGTTAGATGTTTTGTTTTTGTCTGTTTTCATTCTGTGGTTCAGACTGAGCAAATTGTATTGATCCTGTCCTCCAGTTTACTGATTTCATTCCTATATCATCTTCAGTTTACTAGTGAGTCTATTCAATGAGTTTCTTGTTTTGATTATTGCATTTTTTACATCCATAATTTCCATTTGTTCCTTTTTTTAGTAACTTCTATTTCTTTGGTGACATTTTCTATTTTTTTTTTTCATTTGTTTCAAAAGAATTTATAATAGCATGTTGAAGTAATTTTACGATAGCTACTTTAAAAATCCTTGTCACATAATTCCACCATACAATTTCTCTCAATATTGGCACTAACAGCCTTTTCTTATTCAAGTTGTAATTTTCCTGGGTCTTAGTATACAAGTGATCTTCAACTGTATCCTATACATTTTAAATATTAAGAGACTCTTGATCCTATTTAAATTTTATATTTTAGAAGGCAGTCATCCTGTTTTAGTGTGTGTTTTGAACTTCTGCAATGCAATTGTGGCCTATGTTTTTCTGGCTCCACTGAGGCTCTTGCTCAATCTCTGCTGGTGCTGCCTACAGGAACTGAAGGTACTTTCCTGGGCCAACTAGGTGGTTGCTGAGCAATACCAGGTCCATGGGATGGAAAGCATTTCCTTTGGCTTATTCTCTAACTCCCTGATATGGTGGAATTCCTGTTCAATTTCTGCTAGTGTGATCAGAAAAGGGAAGTATATACCTGGGTCAACTCCTGTCACTGCGCATAAGAGCCGGCAGGGAACACCAAGTCTGGGTCTCCTTCTGCCATTAGGTAGAGGGCCAGGTGACACCAGGCCTTTCGGTGCTGCCTATATGAGCTGAGGAGCCCTGGTGGTACAGTGCTTAAGTGCTTGGCTGCTAAATGAAAGTTCAGCACTTTGAACCCATCAACTGCCCCACAGGAGAAAGATGTGGCAATCTGCTTATGTAAAGATTTGCAGGCTTGGAAACCATCTGGGGCAGTTTTACTCTGTCCTACAGGGTTGCTAGGAGTCAAATGGACTCAAGCCCAACAGGTTTAGTGTGAACTGCTGCTGTCTGTCAACTAGTAGGGGGCAGGGAATAGGTTTCCCTGGCACTGATGCCAGAGTGGGCAGACTGGCCCTGCTGCTGCTGCCAAGTATGAAGTGAGCAATGGGTTAGATCTACCACTCTGAGCTGGTGGAACAGGGCTTCCCACTAGGTCTTTGCTGAGCTTCTCCTTTCCTGGTCCTTTGGCCAGAGAGAACAGGCTTTTATTTTGGTCCTTTTATTTTCAGATCCATGCTTATTAGTAATTCTGGTTTGCAGACTCTCTATTGCCCAGCTTGGTACAGATAGGAAAGGAAAAGAAAACCCAGGGGATTTACCATACTGTTGTTCCTTAAGTCCTGAGGTCCCCAGCTAGTTTACCTTCTTTCTACTTTCTAGGGCCTACTGAATTTTTTCCAGAGTATTTAATTGTATTGTAGGAGACTTTCTAATATGTACTTTTGAGCCTGAGTCATATGTATTTTTAGTCAACAAATGAATTCATTTTTTGATGGTATCAAAGATATGGGGAAAAAAATATGTAAGGCTGGTAATGTCTGTGTTCTATAGAAGCTGAAAGATCAAAAGTGAGTTGGAGCACTGACCTCAGACAATTATGACTATTTTTCAATACGCACAGGATTTTTCAGTGAATAATATAAATACTTCATGAAGTCTCGATGCCTGTGATACCAGCATGAAATATCCCAACCTATACAAATAAATGTTACCCAATGAAACACACGACTTCTCCATAAGCACAAACTGCTGTCTCCTTTCCAGATGGTACCTTCACCACGGCCCTCCTTCTTTGACTTGAGAGTATATATGCCAGCTAATGGCTAGAGACAAATGTCCCCATAGTTTTGCAAAAGAATGTCTGAAACAGAATTCTAACTCCTCTGCAAAATTCTTCTCTTCCATTGGATCTTTCAATTATTTGCACTGCCACCAGCTGGGAAAACCAGGCTCAAAATCACATCATATCCTACAATTCTCTCTGCCTCACACCTTCCACATCCAGTTTTCAAGTCCAATTGATTTCACCTATTATATTTTCCCTATCATGTCCTCAAGGACTCTGGTGGCATAGTGGGTAAGGCATTTGGCTGCTAAGCAAGTCACTGGTTCAAATCCACCAGGTGCTCCATGGGAGAAAGATGAGGCAAACTACTCCCGTAAAAGATTTAAAGCCCTGCAAACCCAATGGGGGTTGCTATGACTCAGAACTGACTCGACAGCAGTGCATTTGGTTTTTGTGGTTTATCATGTCCTCAGTGTTTCCCCTTCTACTACTTGAATCAAACTGGCATAACAGTATTTTATGACTTAAATCAGAATCTATCTGTCTTCTAATTCATCTTACTACTGAGAGCAGATGAGTCTTCCCAAAATGGTCTACTTTCTATGGTAGGCTGTCATAGGCAGTCAGTACAGTGTTTTGAACATGGGAGTAAAGTTTAAACTTCTTAGTGGGTCATCTGAAACTCAGCAAAATTAGGCCCTAAACAACTTTCTAGACTTTTCTCTCATTATTTCTCACACATATGCACAGACAGCTTTGGCACATTTGCTCAACCCACACACTCTTATCTATAGGTGCCTCCAGATGAATGAAGTGGGAAGGTTTAACGGCTAAGATTAGTTAAGAAGGCTGTGGTATTTGGTACATAATTGACTGGACCAAGGTGGACAACTCAACCAAACTGAGCCAATAAGACAGATTTATTTGCTCTCTTGCTCTAGTGTGAACTAATACAGGAAAACTGCAGTGAGACGACCTTGGATCCCTGAGATCTAAGTAGCATAAATCTGGGCACAGAGTACAAACAATGGCAACCCAATGTTCTGCGCAGGCCAGTCACAAAGGAAGTAAAAAGGGATGGCAGAGGACAACAGTTTCCAGAAAGAAAGAAAAGAGAGCACACATGTAGGAGAAGCAGTGAGTCCAAGAGAGACACACATAACACCTACAGCCTGGCTATCCTTCTTACAATTAAATTCCCTCAGAGTTTTCTGTATCTTGTCAATAAATACCTTTTTATGATTTTGAACTCCTCTGAGTGCCCTTCTTTCCTCTGCAATTAAATGATTCTTAAGAGAGTACCCCTTAAAACACCAGTCATTGTGCTTTTACGTAATTCGGGCTATCTAGACTTGATACCTTTGCTGAAAGACTTCCCCTCTGAGAAACCCAACTCACTGTTAGGTGTCCTAGGTTTCCAAGGCCCAGTTCTAATGTCACCTCCTCCAAAAAATTTCCATGATTGACAATTCTCCCCTAGTAAAGCACCATAAAGGAGCTCTGGTGGCATAGTGGGTAAAACATTTGGTTCCCACTAGGTCAGCAGTTCAAACCCACCACCAGCTGCTCCATGGGAAGAAGATGAGGCAATTTAGTTCCATAAATATTTAGAGCCTTGGAAACCCAAGGGGGGACACTATGTGAACTGCCTCGATGGCAGTGGGTTAACGCACCAAAACTATTTATCTAACTCCCTCCGATCACTTACAACAATTAACTTCATGTGTTTACTTATCACCCCAACTAGATCATAAGTTGTTTGAGAACAAGGACAATTTCCAGTGCTTAGGTAAGTGAGAGGCATATTACCATTAAAAAAAAATAACAACCAAACTCACTGCCATGGAGCTGGATCCGACTCGAAGTGAGCTCTCCTTGGGTTTCAGAGGTAGTGGCAAACAACAACAACAACAACATCACTATGGAAGTAGAGTGCCCAACCTTCCTCCTGTGGAGTGGCTGGTAGGTTTGAACCTCTAGCCTTCTAGTTAGCAGTCAAAAGCCTTAGGTACTACGCCACATGAGCTTTGAATGAATAACTCTGTCCACATAGCGTTTAGCAGAATCAGCATTGAAACTTTTATCTGGTAAAGGAGTCAGTGGGTTTATCATTCATTTTAAAGTTTTTCCTATTAATATGAGAGGATGATCTTGTTCTAAATAAATAATAACATTCACTCATTACCACCTAGCAGGTATGCTGCACTGAACTGGGGACCTGGTGATCAATAAAAAGATGATGCAATCCTGCCCTGCCCACGAGGAGTTTACAGTTCTGCCACAGCTAGAAGTAAGCAACAGCACAGGACACCCAAATTCTCATCATGCTGAAATCAGAGTAACCATGAAGCTCCTCTGCCTATCTCATTGTCTTCGAGGGTCTTTCATCACCTATTCCGCTTACCCCTGCCCTAGAAAGGAGGGATTGCTATGAGTCAGGTCTGACATAACAACAACAGAAAATACAACCTCAGGTTTGAAGGGAAGACTAAAATATTTCATGAAAATGTACTAAGAAGAACAAAAGAGGAAACAGGTCCCAGGAGGAAAAACAATTTTTTTTATAAGCAAAGTAACATTTTAAATCTCCATTAACAAGCTTGTGAATCATGGCCCTTTGTGCTCAAAAAGGACTCAAAGAAAAACAAGCTTTTTCGACCACCAACAATAAGACCTGAGGGGATGGGGGATGGGGAGAGAAGAAAGGGCCAGTAAGAAAGGCCCCAGAACACAGCAGCAGAGACCACAGCACTGAGCTGTTTATTAGGCTGCAAGTCTCTACTCCTTTCTCCTCTTTCCCTTTCTTCCCCCTTCTCCACACAAATCCTCCCAACAAGCCCATGGAAAGAGAAAACTGGAATCAAGATTGGGTCAAACATGAAGAACAGGAAAAGAATATTAACTAGCCCAGCTTTAAAAGGCTCTTTTTCAGTTTGAACAAAAGCAAAACGTCCTCAAAAGCAAAACGGAAAACGGAGCTTACACCCAGGCTGCTATTTAGTGAGGAGGAGGTCAATGCTGATAAAAACCATTGTGCATCTACACAAAGTGACAGATTTTCAAGCAAGGAAATCAATCAGTTGGAATTGGATGATTTAGAGCTCAGAAATCATCTGGCTCAAACCATCAGGGAGCTGAGGGGTGGGAGGATGGGGATGGGGTAGGCAGGGTGACATGAGGTCAAGCAAGGGGGCTCTAGTTCTTATGCTCACCACCCTCTGACCCCATCTCACCCCTGATCCAATCAGCACACATTCTCAGTCTTGTACAAGGTTGACCCAGCTAAGATTCATTTTGTTCTGTTTCACACCTCAGTCCCAGCAACCTTCCAGTGCAAGGAAATTAAGCTTTCCCCCAGGCAAGCACAGACCCTAGCTGCTGAAAGCTTCTACCTGTCACTTTGGTTCCTTCCTTGCTGTGTGCTTGTTCCCCATGGAGGCAAAATTTAGAAACGTACCATCACGTGGGGCCTCTTCACGCAGGAATGATGGAGTGCTTTGGATTGCACTGACCTCAATTTCTTTCTTCCTTGCTAGAGCTGCTTGTCCTGGCTGTTTCTCACCTCCCTGGGAGGCCTGAGAGCTCAAATCAGTTCTTGTTGCACTGATACCTTCTTGTGCTTTTTCCTTGCTGCTTGCTTCAGGAATCTGTTCTAGCTTACTGTGGAGATTAAATCCAGCAGTGCCCAGTTCTTTCTTCCCAGAGCTACTGCTATTGCTGAAGTGGGTCAATTCTTCTCTCTTCTTGGTCACTGGTTCCTCAGAGATGAAAGGAGGTATCTCCTTAACAGATAGAATGGGCAGTGCCTCAGGGTCCACTCTGTGGTTGGGTGTCTGTTCCTCAGCCACTGTCATGGAACGCCTCATGGCAGGAGCCCCCAGTTTCCTGGGTGTAGGATTAGGTATTGGGCTACTGGTCGGGGGAAGCAAGCCAGAAGAAAGCTCTTCTCTGGCAGGGAGTTCAGGGTACTTATCTGCAAGGTTGACAGCTAGGGGAACTGAGAGGTGAGAACATTCAGACAGGGTCCTGCGCATTGCCTTTTTCTGCTGGGGGGCTTGGTCAAGCAAAGCCCCCTCCTCAGGAGAACGCAATTTCTCCAATTCCTCATCATGGTCTCTGATGTGAGAGCTTGCATTCAAATATTCCTGGGCAAACTCCACCATAGTGATTGGTGGAAGGGCAGTGGGTGAATGCTCAATAGCAGGGGCTGTGTGAACTACAGCCACTGGTAGTGGGGACTCCTGTTCAATCTGCCCAAAGTTCTCATTCACGACTCCAAGCACCGGGCAGCCAAGGGTAATGCCCTCTTCCTTCTTTCCAAGAGTTGCTTCCCCCTGAGGACCTTGAACCACTGAATTAAAGTTAGGGTTCCAAACACTAGTTTCCTGCTCTTTAACATACCGGATGGGGATGCTAGTTGCCCCAGGGAAATCCAGGTCTGGCTGGCTCTTGGTCTGTAGCCCATTCTTCCCTGCCACGTTCCCCTGAACTGTGGCTTTCTTTGTGTCTGACCCTTCTACGGGCCCCAGATGGAACTCAGCTGTCTTCTGGTGTGGTGAATTCCCCTCGGAGGGAGGACAGGTATCTGAAATCACATACCGGCTCTCAAGGTGACCCGAGGTTGTTTGATACTCCTTGTCTCGCACTTCAATGCCGAGCTCTTTGTCTAGCTCCCCCTCAAAGAAGCACCGCTTATTCTGCTCCAGGAAGCTGGCATTTTTCACAAGCCCATCTTTCAGCTGCCTGTCCATGCTGACATTCAGCCCGATCTCATTCAGTTTGCCTTCTGTACTCTGCCACTCAAATCCAGCTTGACTGAATTCTTTGGGGGAGTCCATTCGGCACTCAGCAGGCTTGCCCTTACACAGCTGGCCGTAGGCAACAGTGAGAGAGGCTGGCTGCTCGTCTGAGAGCGACATCGTCTCTTTCGCTGCTCTCCCCACTCTCACTCCTGGAGCTCTAACACCACCTACATCACACGGAGCTTGCAGTGACATCACACCAAGTCCCCAGTATTGATGACAACACTCTTCTTTCCCCCAACCTCTCGCCTTCCTCAAGCAGGAGCCCCCAGTGTTAAACGTATTTATGAGCATGAAAGAGATGAAGAAAAGAAAAGAACCTGCTGCTTTCTGCACAATGAAATACCACTGTTAAACTGAAAATGTAATTTCCTGTTACCCAGCACTCTGTTTAGAGCTGTAATTTAAAACACAGTATGCTGCCAATTCATGCACTGAGAATAGTAATTATGCCGCTTTCACTGATATAGATATATGTATACCCACACATTCACTTATTTGATATTATGCCCACTTTTCCATCTTCACCCACTTAAAAACTGTTTCAAAAAAAAGCAATATTCATTTGCTAATCCCCAGCCACAATCCCTAAAGAACAATGATTCCAGAAAATTGTACAAAATTTCATTTAAGGAAAAAACCACCTCAATATAATACCAAAATTGGAGGCACACCTTTCTCAGAGAAAGCGTGGGTTTGCTGTCATAGCAACTTATCAAATTCACTTGAAAAGTAACTTGGGTGGGGCCCCAAAAGCCCACTGAGAGCTCCATCTATATTTATTAAGTTCTGTATTGTAGAAAGGTTTAGTAAAGGGTTCATTCAAAGACTTCAGTGATGAGGGATTTCAGGACATGTATTTCAGTGATAAGACACTTGTTTGACAACACATCCTCCCACTCTTGTACCTGCTCTCCCTAGGTTCCCTGGACAAGCCAGGTCACCCCCTCTTCTACCAGCTCTGCTGTCTGCACACTACTGACCTTTTTAGTTGCCACTTGAACACTGGAGCAGGTCATCTTCCTCTCATCTCTGGAACCCAGAGGATCTGGCAATCTGTGACTTGGGGTTTTCCCCACTTACAAGATCCCATTGACCCATTTAACTTAGCATGGTCATTAGATGCCCTGGGCTTTGATCTTACAAACTGCATTCAGGGCTCAGAGATCCATAGAAAAAAATTCTCATTTAAAAAAAAAAAGTTACAGTGTAAGGATAGACTGCAGTCTATCTTGAAGAAAGACTGTTGCAATCATAGTGGCACAACATGAAAAATGCCATCAATGTCCCTGAGCTGTAAATGGAGAAGTTGTTGTTATGTTGGCAAATGTCTGGAATATGTTTTCACTACAATAAAAGTAAAAAAGATTAAAAAAAGAAAAAGATTGTTGCCTAGACTTTAAAGTCACTAACACAGGATATTGTGAATCCAAAGGATGTCTTTTTTCCAAGATGTGGAAAAGGTTTCTTTTTTAAAAAAAAGCCATTTGCCATCTAGCGCAACTGTTTGGCCATAGTTTTTTTTTAATAATGCTTTTTACCAAACCAAAACCAAACACACTGTCATGAAGTCAGAATCGACTCATAGCGATCCCTCCTTGGGTTTCCAAGGCAGTATCACTACGGAAGTAGATTGTCCAACCTTTCTTCTGAGGAGTGGCTGGTGGGTTTGAACCGTCAGCCTTCTGGTTAGCAGTCAAATGCCTTAGGCACTATGCCACCAGAGCTCCTGATAATGCTTTTTTTTTTGGGTGGGGGGAGTTAGGATTCTTCCATCTTTGGTCTATAAAATGTGAAGACACCATCAAGGCCCAGACCAGAAAAGGTCACCCATATGGGGTCTCTGTACCCAAGCACTGTCTTCTCTACTGCTCATACCACTCACATAATTTACTCAATTCTTTAACTGGAGCACAGGAACTAACCATATATGCCTCTTACAACAACTTCAGTACTTAACATAGGGCTATGTTCACAGGCTGGGTGGTGCTGAAAAAATGTGAACTTGAGTTTAACTTATTTCCTGAAAAGCTGAGCCTCATATACACCTCTCCTTCCTCTTGACTTAAATAGTTTAGTAGCAATATATATTAAAGCATCACAAAAGGTTCTTTTACCACAGCTTATTCTATGGCAAAGTTGTCACTAAGGATGAAGGAAGTGAGGGATGCATAAAGAAATGAAGAAGGTGCAGAAGGGTCATGGTTATGATCATGAATGGAAAAAAATAAGAGTGAGGAGAATCTTGAAATGTAGACCAATTTGGGTTTTCTTACCTTATTCATACATATATTTTAACTGAATAAGATAATTAAGTATTACAGTATGTGATGAAAGTCGAGGGAAGGTGTTGTAGATACAATGCAGTTCAACCACACCAGAACAAAATTTTGGAAAATACCTTAAGAATCAGATAACCCCCAACACCACCATTCACTAAAAAACTCGCCACATCCCCCTAAACACATATACATCCTCCTTAGTTTACAGATACCTTCTATCTTTGATTTGTAGGGGAAAAATAAAATTTGACTCAGAGGCAGAAGAAAAGATTTAAAAATCTCTCCAATAATAAATAATTCATCGCAATTTTGAACAATTCATGTAACTGCTCCTAGCTTCAGTTTCTTCATAAATGAAAGGAAGGGAATCTCTAAAGTGCCTTTCAGTTTTAAAGTTTTAACACTCTTACATCTCAATAAAAAGGGTGAAACATGCACTGAAGGAACTGCAGGCCTACTGTAATATCCAACTTACAATGTGGTTTTCACTTGGGGCTCCAATGACCAGCATGTTCAGTAACCCCTCCTGCCTCACAAGAGGGTGCTACCTACTGACAGGCATGACTGAGAGATGTGACAAGTCTGAAAAAAGTGGCAGTCTCAGCTGGCCTTCAAATTCTGAAAGAACAAGTAGCGTCCAGGCAAAATGCAAATGAGACTTATTCCTTGGAGTCAAATGATTTTTAATTCTAGCCAGCCTACTTACACTCTCTCCATCATTACCCTAACTCCTTTGAAAAAATAAAATAAAAAAAAAAAATAACAGTTAAGGCAGTAACTAAAATTTCAAGTTCCTGCTACTGTTACATCTCATATATCTTGCCCTAACCATTTTATTCCTAAGTCCCCAAAACAAAAACAAACCCCACTGCCATAAAGTTGATCCCCACTCAGAGTGACTCTATAGAGCAGCGTAGAACTGTTCCATAGGGTTTCCAAGACCATAATCTTTACAGGAGCAGACTGCCTCAATTTTCTCCCATAGAGCAGTGGTGGGTTTGAACTGTCAACTTTTCAGTTAGATGCTGAGCACTTAACTACTGTACCACCTGGGCTTCTTTATCCATAAATAGCAGACCGCAGAAGCTGAGTCAGCCAAAACACCAGGAAGTGGACCCAGGAGAATGAAGCAAGCTAGTCATGATGGAACCTGTATTCTAGATTATAGTTCAAACTATTGATCAGAAATGTGGTCAACCTGAGGAAAGATAATGATGAGGTTAGCACCTGGCTATGAGGCCAAACAGACCTCAGCGTTACAAGTTTCTAGAGTCAGAGAAGGCAATCTAGGGGTGGGAGTGGGAATGTGTTAGTGGCCAAGAAGTGTAAGCCCAGACATGAAACCCAGAGTAGAGAGGAGTGCCCAACACACCATGTTAGTCAGATGTTCAGGTATACAGATAAGCATGATACTCACCCAGGGGTCTGAGCACAATAGGAAAAGATGGAATTATGTGGCTGACCACAGAAGCCATCTCTGGTATAGATATGATGATTAAGGAAATATGTAACTGTTATGGACTGAATTATGTTGCCCCCAAATATGTGTCAACTTGGCTGGGCCATGATTCTCAGTGGCTTGGCAGTTACATAATGATGAGATCATCCCTATGATGTGATCTGGTATGACCAGCTTATCACTTGTAACGGGATTAACGTGGGATGCAGCACCCTTAATCAGGTCATAGCCCTGATCCAATGAAAGGGGAGCTTCCCTGGGGCATGGCCTGCATCACCTTTTATCTTACAAGAGACAAAAGGAGAGAGAAACAAGCACAAAGGAGGGACCTCCTACCACCAAGAAAGAGCTAAAGTAGACCATATCCATTTGACTTGGGGTCCCTATGCTAAGAAACTCCTAGACTCAGGGGAAGACTGATGACAAGGACCTTCCCTCAGAGCTGACAGACAGAAAGCCTTTCCCTGGTTCTGACACCCTAAATTGAGACTTATAGCCTCTTAAACTGTGAGACAATAAATTTCTGTTTGTTAAAAGCCGGGAACTTTGGTGGCGTAGTGCCTAAGGCATTTGACTGCTAACCAGAAGGCGGGCGGTTCAAAACCACCAGCCACTCCTTGGAAGGAAGGTTGGGCAATCTACTTCCTTAGAGATACCTCCTCAGAAATCCAAGGAGGGGTCGCTATGAATTGACTCGACAGCAGTGAGTTTGGTTTGGTTTTGGTTTGTTAAAGCGTCCACTTGTGTAGTATTTCTGTTATTGAAGCACTAAGTAATTAAGACACATATAAAAAGCATTTAGCAAAGTGACACACAGAATGTACCTACTGATGTTAGCTTTTTCAGAAGAAAAAAAATGAAGAAAATGTATTATATGTTAAGTAGATTTTATCATTCTCAGTTAGGGATTTAGCAAAATAATAAAGTCTAAGTCCCTGGACTGGAAAACTACTGCATGGGATCTTTCTGATAAAGAAGGCAGACAAAAACAAAAGAAACAAACCACTACTACTACAACAATTACTGATTAACAGAGAAGAGAAAAAGAAAAGCTATTTCTAATAAGTTGAGGAACTGCCCAAAGAAAATAGTACCCCATTCCCATGCCTTTTAAGACAAGAGTAATTCCATAAAAACTACCTCAAGGACATATAAGTATGTGCTATGGGCATACAGTTAGAAGGCTAGAGCTCCTCTAACCCAATCTCCCCATTTTACAGAGTAGCAAAATGGAGTCGCGAGGAAAAAAGTGAAGCAATCTGCCCAAGATCAAATGGTGAGTTAATGGAACACACGTAAGCTTCTTGGTCTCCAACTGCCAGCCTTGCCACACCACTAGCAAAACGTCAACTGGATGCCTCTTCTTTTCAATCTTTCTTTTTTGCTCACCGAAGTACTTCAAGCTTTGATTTGTGATTGAACCTTT